TGCAGCTCCTCGTAAAACTGGCATGTCTAGGGGGCAGAACCAGAACAACCGTTTGCATCCCTTGTCTTCTGGTACGCTTGCTGAAGCTCCTTTATTTTCACGCAGAACTGCTGTGAGTTCCAGATGTAGCCCTTCTCCCCCATACCAAAAGCGATCTTGGCTCATATGTCCGTGTTTCTTCTGCTGGATCGAAGCTGTGCCTGCACAGTCTCTTCTCCCCACACAGCAATAACATCCACCACATCCTGTGTACTCCATGCTGGAGCTCGTTTGGGGCGTTGAGTCTTCATAATCAGCTGTGCTGGTGAGCTCTCCACGCTGATCAAACAGGAAATGAAAATTCAAAAGTTCCTGGGCCTTTAACAGAGAAGGGGCTGTTTCCTGTGTACCTGGCTGCCGTGCAGTGGAGTTGAAAGTGCTCTCCAGAGGGGTCACAGTGGAGCACCATGGGACAATTCCTGGAGGCCAATTCATTCCAATTACACAACGCAGGGTCTATACTATCCCCATGTCGACCCGTGGATGCCAAATCAAGCGCTATGCCTCTCGCGGAAGTGGAGTACAGAAGTCAACTTTACAGACGACTTAGGTCAGCGGATGGGACTTGGTAGTGTAGACACATACATTATTACATTGACTTAACACGACTTCCGTCAACCTAAGTTTGTAGTGTAGACCAGGCCTTCCTTATTCACTTCCTTCACACCATTCAGGATTTTAAAGATCATATCCCCACAGATTCATCATATCCCCCCTTAGTCTCTTTTCTAAGTTGACCAGTCCCAGTCTTTTTCATCTCTCCTCATAGAGAAGCTGTTCCATACCCCTAATCATTTTGTTGTCCTTCTCTGCACCTTTTCCAGTTCTAACATTTTTTTTTTTTTTTAGATGGGGTGACCAGAACTGATTACAGTATTTAAGGTGTGGCATACCATGGATTTAAATAGTGGCATTATGATATTATCTGTCTTATCACCTATCACTTCCAAATAGTTCCGAACATTTTGTTAGCGTTTTTGACCGCCACTGCACACTGAGTGGGATGTTTTCAGAGAACTATCCACAATGACTCCAAGGTTTCTTGAGTGGCAACAGCTAATTTAGACCCCATCATTTTTTAATCTATCGTTGGGATTATGCTTTCAAATGGGTATTACTTTCCATTTATCAAGATTGAATTTCATCCGCCATTTTGTTGCCCAGTCACTCAATGTTGTGAGAACCCTTTGTAACTATTCACAGTCTGCTTTGGACTTAATGCTCTTCATTAATTTTGCATCATCTGCAACCTTTCCTACCTCCCTGTTTCCAGTTTATTTATTAGTATGTGGAACAACAGTGGCCCGAGTACAGATCCCTGGGGGACCCCATTATTTACCTCTCTCTAGTGTGAAGACTGACCATTTATTCCTACCCTTTGTTTCCTGTCTTTTAACCAGTTACTGATCTAGGAGAGGACCTTCTCTCTTATGCTATGACTGCTTACTTTGTTTAAGACCCTTTGTCTATGTCAAAGTCTTTCTAAAAATTCCAAATATACTATACCCACTGGATCACCCTTATGCACATTTGTTGAGCCCCTCAGAGAATTCTAATAGACTGGTGAGGCACGAGTTCTTTTTACAAAAGCCATGTTGACTCTTCCCCAACAAATCATGTTCATCTATGTGTCTGATCATTCTGTTCTTTACTATAGGTTTCAAACTATTTGCCTGGTACTGAAGTTAGGGTTACTGGCCCCTAATTGCTAGGACAGCCTCTGAAGCCTTTTTTAAAAATTGGTGTTACATTAGCTATCCCCGGTCATCTGGTATAGAAGCCAATTCAAGTGGTAGGTTACATATTGCAGTCAGTAGTTCTGCACTTTTCATATAGGAGTTCCTTCAGTATTATTGGGCGAATACCATCTTGTCCCTGTGACTTATTAATGTTTAAATTAAGTTTGTTCCAAAACGTCCTCTATCAACACCTTAATCTGGGACTTTTCCTCAGATTTGCCAGCTACAAAGAATGGCTCAGGTGTAGGAAAGTCCCTCACATACTCTGCAGTGAAGACTGATGCAAACGATTCAGTTAGGGAATCAAGGCCATTGCAGAGCAGCTGAATGCTCATTTAGCACCCAGTACCGCACTGATTTTATGGCAGGCTTCCTGATTCTGATGTACTAAAAAAAAAAAAAGTTTCAGCGACTTTTGCTAGTTGCTCTTCAAATTCTCTTTTCGGCCTGCCTAATTATAGTTTTACACTTGACTTGCCAGATTTTATGCTCTTTTCCTCAGTAGGGATTGACAAAATTTTTAAGACAGGCCTTTTTTGCTTCTAACTGCCTTATTTACTCTGTTTCGCCAAGGGAGTATTTTCTTAGTCTTCTAAACATTTTTCCCCCATTTGGGATACACATTTACTTTGAGCCTCTATTATGGTGTTTTTAAAATGTTTCCATGCAGCTTGCAGGCATTTCCCTTGTGAGTGGTCCTTTTAATTTCCATGTAAATAATTTTCTCCCTTTTGTGTAGTTCCCCTTTCTGAAGCTGAATACTACTGTGGTGGGCTTCTTTGGTATTTTACCCCTCACAGGCATATTAAATTTAATTACATTATGGTCTATATTACAAAGTGGTTCAGCTGTATTCACATCTTGAACCAGATCCTCTGTGCCATTTAGGAGTAAATCTAGACTTGCCTCTCCCCTTGTGGATTCCAGAACTAGCTGCTCCAATAAGATGCCATTAACGGGGAATAAAAACTTTATCTCTGCATCCCATCCTGAGGTGACATGTACCCAGTAAACATGTGATCAGTGGAAATCCCCAAATATTACTGAGTTTTCCATTTTTATAGTCTCTAATCTCCCTGAGCATTCCATAATCACCAGGAACATCCTGCTAAGGTGGTCAGTAATATATTTCTATTGCTATACTCTTATTATTCAAGCATGGAATTTTTATCAGTAGAGATTCTATGGTACAGTTTGATGTCTTTTTTCCTGCCCCCTCTATATTTCACTCTATGCTGTCTTTCACATACAAGTGCCACTCCCCCACCAGCGCAACCTTGTCTGTCATTCCTATATAGTTTGTATCATCACTTCAAGGTTCTGTGACGCCTATTTTATCAATATCCTCATTTAAAACGAGGCACTCAAGTTCATGCATCTTAGTATTTAGCCTTCTTCCATTTGTATACAAGAACTTAAACAACTTGTCAATATTTAGTTGTCTACCTTCATGTGATGTAATTGAACAGGACTCTTCATTTGACTGTTTCCCTTCAGATACTACTTGTACTTTATGAATTTCTATCCTCCTCTTTATTAAGATATACAGAATCCCCATTAAGAGATCCCCCCCCAATTGGTTGGCTCAAGAGGACATACTATGGCCGTTGAACTTGAGCTACATCATGCATTTGAGTCAGAGCTCTCACACTGCGTGTTGTGAATTTTTCTTTCATTCTGAAGGAGTTTCTCTTGGAAGTTTGGCCCTGATAACAATATTTCTGAGTGTTCTCAAATCTACATGGAGATATTGGACGAGTTGCTAATTAAGAGTTTTGTGAGAATTGTCTGTCAGCTAGTGGTGTGAAAAATCACATCCTTGCCTGACATAGCGTGCTGGGGGGGGAGGGAATCAATTTAAAAGAAATTACGGGCATTATATGCCTAGAAAATACATTAAAGCAGAATTAAGGTTGTCCAGTGCAGCCTCATACCCTTCTAGCATGTTGATGGTGGCGAAAGTTAAAAACTCTGAAAACCAGGAAATGAAGAATTAAACTACACACTATACCTGCAATACAACCTTAACTCTTAAAATAAAATAAAAAAAATTAATTAATGGAAGTATCCTATCTCCTAGAACTGGAAGGGACCTTGAAAGGTCATCGAGTCCAGCCCCCTGCCTTCACTAGCAGGACCAAGTACTGATTTTGCCCCAGATCCCTAAGTGGCCCCCTCAAGGATTGAACTCACAAGCCTGGGTTTAGCAGGCCAATGCTCAAACCACTGAGCTATCCATCCCCCACTTCCCCTACCTCCTAACCATGCAGTTGGCAAATGTCACTCGGAATATATCAGCAAGAGTGGTTCAAAGGTTAACCAACTACTCAGGGAAGTAGCAAATTTTCCATCTATTGAAGTCAAGACTGGATGCCTTTTTTGAAGATGTTTTCATCAAAACACGAGGTATTCAACTTACTACAATGGTAACTGCATGAAACTGTATGGCCTGTGTTATACAGGAGGTCAGATTACTAGTATCTCTTGGCTTTAAAATATACTGATCAATAATTAATAGGAGGAAGGACTAAGAATGTGACATTCTTGGTGTTCTATTCTACAAATTTGAATACCAACATTTATCTGCATACACTTCAGCTATGTGCACTGTGTCAGCTATAGCATTAAAGGAACAGTGGAGGGAAGAGTTGGAGCAGCTTAGCAGAGCTATGACTGTGATATGAAGACACAGGACTGTGAAACCTGAAGGAACAGGTATTCCTCATGTCAGTGCTGAGTGTTGTAGGTTGTATCAATGAAGGCACACAAAGGTGTGTTCTTGTCACAAGGTTTGTCAGCAGTCTGGGGCCATACATGCTAGTGGTCTCCAATGCTCAGGCAGGGTAAGTGAAGGCAGTTACTCAGAAGGAATCCTCAGTGCAAGGGTAAAGAGGTGGTAACATTATGAAAGTCTGAGATGGATTGTGTGTAGTAGGCTCAGGGTCTGAGCGCAGGCCAGGGCCAGGCAGCTTCTGTTCCCTACATGGGACCTAATCCCAAGTTTTGCCTTAGCAAAGAGAAGGTGTTAGACTTTGTGCTATACTGCTCCTGTGCTCTGTTCCCAAACTGCTCCGTGGTCAGGAGGGTAGAGTGCTAGTGTAGGTGTCATTTGCCTGTCGGGGTGTTGCTGAAACAGGGTAGAGTTGAGGTTGCACTGTGGGGTGTTGTGAAACTTAACTCTTCACTTCCCCTTCTAATAACCGAGGGGACAGGAATCCTTACCCAGCGAGGTCACATTCTCATAGTTCTCCTGCATGACGACTCTGTAGAGAGCTCTCTGAGCGGGGTCCAGCAGAGCCCACTCTTCCTTGGTGAAATACACAGCCACCTCCTCGAAGGTCATCAGCCCCTGAAAGAGAAAGAGCCCCTCACTCAGTACCTGCTGCCTACTGACAACCCCACAATTCACAGGAGAGGAGGGCCAATCACATGGAAGCTCTGGGAGGCAGGCAGGCAGCATAATCCCACACCTACCCCATCAGAACAGGCAGGAAGCATTAGGGTGAGGGGAGAAAAAGAGCCCTTCATCCCTCCGAGCGGAGAGAGGGGACAGGGGTCTTCACATTCATCACTCACCTACTAGCCAGAGGCTGATACAGGAGATAAAGCTCCCAGCAGAGTCCACGGACAACAACATGATGGGAATTGCAACACCCTCCCCACTGGTAGCAGCCAGATGGGAGGGGATGGGGTGTCTTCCCTGGGCCTCACTGGCGGGCAAACTTCCCTCTAAGCAGCGCAGCCGCCTATTAAGCCCGCACAGGGACTCAGGGATGTGGCAGAGAAAGGCACCCCTACTCACCGGCCCCAGTGCGGACCTGCCGCAGATAGGGGAGAGGCGCCCCTCCCCCGGTCCCAACATGGACCTGCTGCGGCTGGGGGAGAGGAGCCCCTCCCTCAACCCGGCCCAGGCCAGCCGGAGCTGCCCCAGCCAGGGAGAGGCGCCTCTCCCCCGGCACAAGCTGCTGCGGCGAGAGAGGGCGGGAGGGGGAGTCCTCTCTCCCCCCCACAGCCCCAGGGCAGCCTGCACCCCCAAATCCATCATCTCCAGCCCCTCCCCAGAGCCCAAACCCCCAGCCAGAGTCCTTGTTCCCCCCTGCACCCAACCCTCTACCCCTGCCCTGAGCCCCATCCCCGAACCCGTCGTCCCCGGCCCCACCCCAGAGCCTTCACCCCTAGCCGGAGCCCTCACCCCCTGCACCCAACCCTCTGCCCCAGCCCTGAGCCCCCTCCTGCACCCCAAACCCCTCATTCCCAGTTCCCCCCACCCCTCATCCCCGGCCCCACCCCCTGCACCCAACATTCTGCCCCAGCCCTGAGCCCCATCCTCTGAACTCCTTGCCCCCGCCCCCCCATGTATTTACTGCCCTTCTCTCTCCAACAGGAACCCACCAGCAACTCCCTGATAATCCCTACCTCAACTGGCTCCACTGCAGCCATTTCCCTTCCCTGGCCCCAGGAAGGATGGACTGATCTGGAGCAAAACATGGATGTTGCGCTGCAGCCTGTTAGGGCAAAAAGGGCAATTGGGGACATGTCAGAACAGGAAATAATTTCACATCAAAATTCCCCCCCAGGCTCTTTCCCTGCACACTAGTGTTCTAGACTGTTGCGCAAATAACAGAAAAATTCAAAATACAATTAGTAATGGGGGGACTTTATCCACCCAGACCTCTGTTAGAAAAGGAATTGAAAAAAACCCATAAGTTCTTGGACTGTATTAGGGACACCTGTTTGTTTCAGAGGACGGAAGAAGTAACCGGAGGACAGCCATTTTAGACTTGATTCCGGCTAACAAGAAGGAATTAGTTAGGAAACTGAAGGTGGAAAGCAATATGGGTAAAAGTGATCATGAAATGATGATTTCAGGATTCTAGGAGAAGGAAGGCATGAGAGTAACAGAATAAAGACAATGGACTTCAAAAAGGCAGGCTTCAACAACCTCGGAGATCTGGTAGATGAGGTCCCATGGAATGAAATCTGAGCTGAAAAGAAGCGTTCAGGAGAGATGGCGGTTTCTCAGAGACAATATTAAAGGAGCAACAGCAAACTATCACCATGTGAAGGAAAGACAGAAAGAATATTAAGTGGGCAAAATGCCCTATCAATAGCTCTTTAATGATCAGAAAATAAAAAGAAATCCCACAAAAAGTGGCATCCTCTCTCCCCCCCGCAGCCCCAGGGCAGCCTGCACCCCCAAACCCATCGGGGGGGGGACAAATTGCTATGGATGAGTACAAAATAATAGCACAAGCATGTGGGGGGGGGGGGAATCAGAAAGATTAATTCACAAAATGAGTTATGCCTAGAAAGTTATATAACTGGCACTAAGATAAGGATTCTATAAATAAGACTAAGGTGTTAAATGCCTATTTATATTCACTAAAAAAGTTCAAATTGTGACCAGTTACTAAAACAATTACTCTTAATCAAGAGGGGGAAGGAACAGAAACCACAATGGGGAACTAACAGGCTAAAATATATTTAGATAAGTTAGATGTATTAAAGTCAGCAGGGCCTAATGAAGCTCATCCCAGGGTACTCGAGGAATTAGCTGAAGCAGTCTTGGAACAGTTAATTATCTTTGACAACTCCTGGAGAACAGTGAGGTGACTTGGAGGTGACACAGGAGCGGAGAAGGGCAAACATAAAACCTGTCTTTAAAAAGGGGAACAATGAAGACCTGGGGAATAAAGACCAGTCAAGCCTTACTTAGATAACTGGAAAGAAAATTTTATTAAAACAATCAATTTATAAGCACCTAGAGAACAGTAAAGTGATAAGTTATAGCCAGCATAGATTATCGAATACAAATCATGCCAAACCAATCTAATTTCCTGCTTTCACAGGGGTACTGGCCTTATGGACCCAGGGGACACTGTAGACATGATACATCTTGATTTTAGTCAGGCTTTTGACCCAGGCCACCATGACACTCTCATCAGCAAACTAGGGAAATGTAGTATACATGAAAGTACTATGCGCGCACAATTTCTTGAAAGGCTGCACTCAAAGTATTAATGGTTTGCTGTCAAACTGGGATGATTTACCTAATGGAGGTCACACAGGAGCCAGTCCTGGATCTGGTACTATTCAATATTTTCATTAACGACATGGATAATGGAGTGGAGAGTATGCTTATAAAATTTGTAGATGACACCAAGCTGGGAGGAGTTGAAAGCACGTACAATAAAATTAGAATTCAAAATGACCTTTATAAATTAGAGAATTGATCTGAAAGAACAAGACAAAATTCAATAAAGATAACTGCAAAGTACTACATTTTAAGCAAGGAAAATCCAATGCACAACTACAAAATGGGGACTAACTGGCTAGGGGCAGTACTACTGAAAGGGATCTGGAGGTTATAGTGGATCACAAACTGAATCTGAGTCAGCCATGTGACAAAGTTGTGGAAAAGGCTAGTTAAGTACTGGAATAGTTACCAAGGAAGGTTGTGGAATCGCCGTCATTGGAGGTTTATAAGGACAGGTTGGACAAACACCTCAGTGTAGGGGGCTGGACTAGATGACCTCTCAAGATTCATTCCAGCCCTACATTTCTATAATTCTATTCTGAGGAAATGTTTGGTCACTTTATTACAGCACTGACCCGGCCCCTTCCACCAGCACTAAACCACAGGGACATTTTAAAACTCTCCCAGTAACAAAGTCTGAGAACCAATTGCGAGACAAGAGCAGAACAAAAGGAGTGACTCTGGGGGATTCCCCCCCCCGATGTTGTCCCCAGGGCAGCACACTCCCACAGCTAGGGGTACAGGGAATTGTTTTTTCCTCTCCCTGCACCTCACCTTGTCACAGGAAAGTGAATCTGCCCAGGGATACTGCAATAAGTGTGTGTGGGCAGGTCAGAGATCTGGGAATCTCTTCCCAGTTATTTCTCCCACTGCCCCTTTCAGTCTCTCCCTCTTTTCTCCTTACGTCATCCTTCCCCTGTCTCTCCCCCTCTGGCTGAGGGGCAGCCATTCCTGGGTGCTCGCTGTCTATGGCTGGATCAGCTCCTGTAATTGCTAAGGGAGGAGATATGCGGGATGAGGAAGCGGCTGTGCACAGTCATTTTCATGCCCGTCCTCAGCATTTTCCCTGAAGTCTCTATTAATCACCTAAAGTTTCTGGCTTCGATTTTGGTGTTGGCAAAGCCTAGGGCTGCCTTATGGGATAATTACAGCTAGAGAAAGTCCTCACCTTGTCTGGGCACAGAGGAGGCTTTACTTAAGGTCACTCCCTAGCCTTGACTCCGTCAGGGGAGCAGCAGCTGCTCAGTCTTGATTCCCAGATCGTAATGGAGGCAGCAGTGTCTGACCCAGGAAGCTCAACTCCAATATCCTGAGCAGAGAGAGAGAAAGAGAGAGACTGAGTGGCTTCCCTGGCATTTAGTGATAACTGAAATCCCCTCCCCACAGCGAGGCATCCTGATCTCATTTGCCTACATGTTAATCTAGAAATTGGAAATCGAGCAGGGGTGGGCAAACTACAGCCCGCAGGCTGCATCTGTCCCGTCAGACATTTTAATCTGGCCCTCGAGCTCCCGTCAGGGAACGGGGTCTGGGGCTTACCCTGCTCTGGCGCTTCAGCTGCAGAGCGGGGTCAGGTCTTGCCCCGGTCTGCGCGTGCCACAGCTCTGGGTAGCAGAGACAATACGGCATGTCCCTCCTCCAGCTCCTACACATAGGGGCAGTCAGGGGGCTCCGTGCGCTGCCCCCACCCCAAGTGCCGCACCCGCAGCTCCCATTAGCCAGGAATCACGGCCCATGGGTCTGCAGGGGCGGTGCCTGCAGACAGGGCAGCATGCAGAGCCCCCTGGCCACGCCTACACGTAGGAGCCAGACAGGGGACATGCCGTTGCTTCTGGGAACTGCTTGAGGTAAGCGCCACCCAGAGCCTGCACCCCTGATCTTCTGCGCACCAACCACCTGCCCCAGCCCTAATCCTCCTCCTGCCCACCGAACCCCTTGGTCCCAGCCCAGAGCACCTTCCTGCACCCCAAACCCCTCATCCCCAGCCGCACCCCAGAGGCCTCACTCCCTCTCCCCCCGCACACCAACCCTTGCCCCAGCCCAAAGCCCCCTCCTGCACCCTGAATTTCTGGCCCCATCCCAGAGCCCACCCCCCCCACTCCCAATTTCGTGAGCATTCATGGCCCGCCACAGAATTTCCATACCCAGTTTGCCCAACCCTGAACTAGAGTGTCAAGGGGAAATTTGGTCCATAACGACACCAGCCAACCACAGGAACATGAGCTAACACCAGCTTTTGGCTAGAACATCTGCAGATGTCTGACCACAAGAATGCCATGGCAACAAACTGATGCATATGATAACAAGCTGAGGTCATTAATACACTAAGCTACTGGAGGACACCCCAACATTAGTGTGGAGAGGAAATTCAAATAAAGAAGAAGGAAGAAACCTCTACCGAATAAGCATCAGACATAGTGGCATCGGCAGAACATATTATCGGCTACACAACTCAAGAAAGGGAGCTGCATGTTGCTGTAGACAGCTCAATTTAAAACTCCATCCAGTGCACAGATGCCACCAAAAAGCTAAACCATGTTAGGATTCATAAGGAATGGGACAGAGAAAAACACGTAAATTTTTTATACAAATCAAAGTGGCAGCCTCTAATGTCCTTGGATCACCATGGCTACTACAGCACTGCACACGGGATATTTTATATCTACCTCTCAGAATTGGGGAAGAAATAGGTCTAAAAAGAAATATTTGATAATGAGAGAAAACCACCCAGATCTGAAGAGATTTTATATTAAGTGAGAATAGTGGGATAGTGTTACGGGATTGTATATGGAATTTCAACAAACAGAGTAATAATTCCCCCCCACACACACACACACACATTCACATGGGCAGCAGGGAACCCTTTGGGGAGGTGCTTTAAGAGGGTAAGTAAGGGGGGTATGGAGCAGGAAAACTCCCTGGCAGTGGGGAGGGGACCAGGGCCGGCTCCAGTTTTTTTGCTGCCCCAAGCAGCGAAGCGGAAAAAAAAAAAAGAAAAAATAAAGCCGATCGGCGGCACTTCGGCGGTGGCTGAATCGTGCTGCTTCATTCTTCTACCCTTCGCTCCCTCTCTTCCTCTTTGGCGGCACTTCTGCGGCTGCTCAACGAGGAAGAAAGGGACTGAGGGACCCGCCACCGAATTCCGCCGAAGACCCGGACAGGCCGCCCCTTTCCATTGGCCGCCCCAAGCACCTGCTTCCTTCGCTGGTGCCTGGAGCCGGCCCTGGAGGGGACAGCAGCAGGGGTTGGCAGGTGACTTGCAGTTGGGGGGAGCTGCATTGGGCAGTTGTGGGGAGCAGTAGCCGGGACTGTGTAACCTTGGGCTGGACAGTCTTTAGGGACTTTTTCCTCCTGTGCCCCTCTATGCCGTGTTGCTGGCGGAGAATGGCCACCCCATCCTACCCCAGAGGCAGCTGTGTCTCAGGGCACTGCAAGCTCCACCCGTTAAGCCCCTTCTCATTTGGGGAATGATTCAGGACAACAATTTCACAATGGAAGAAAGAAAATGTACTGCAGATTCACTGGGTGGGGAAATATCCCAAATCTGAGATTGTTACGTTAACACTGGAAAATAGAGAGAAAATGGGGCAAAGTCTGAAAAGGAGACTAGAGAAAGTGTCAATAATTGCTCCAGCCTGTCTCTGACTCCCGGCCATGGGGCGCGATGTGGCGACCCGGGGAAGCTGACTTGAGGCTGACGCAAGGTAAGCGAAGCCGAACCGGCCACCCAGGGTACTGGGCTGGAGGTCGGTACGGCGGGTGGGTCTGGGTTCCCCTACCTCAGTGAACTGCCCCCCCCAGCCTGATCCCCGCGCTGCCCCCGATTGGCCGGAGCCCTGGCGCTGGCCGCGGGGGGCGGGGGGGGGGACGGTCGGACCCGGGGAGCAGCGAGTCCAGGGGCCGAGGCCCCCCCCCAGCAGCGCAGCGCCCGGCTGAGGGGCGGGGCCGCCAGGGACCAGGCCCCGCCCCCGGGACACGAGAGTTCGCCTGAGAAGCGGGAAGGCGCCGGGAGGCTCCGGGCGGGGGGGGTCTGAGGGGCGCCGGCTGGGGGCGGGGCGGGGGCCGGGCTGAACCCGGGGGGCTCCCTTACCTGGGCTCGAGCGACAGGCGCCCCGCCCAGCGAAGTTCGACTCTCCTCAGGGCGGAAGTGACGGGACAGGCTGCCAAGGCAACGAGCGCGCCCAGCCGCAGGAAGCGGAAATGACCCATATCCCCGCCCGCCGGCGCCATCCCTCCCTGGGCATGCTGAGAAGCGCCGGGCTCTCTGTCACGCGCGGCCTTCTATTGGCGGATGGGGGTTCGCGTCAGAACGCCCCGCTCCCTGATTGGCAGAGAGACGCCGGGGCCAGCGCGGGGCGGGGGAACCTCAGCTCCGGGGTCTTTGGGCCTTGCCCTGCTGCGCCCCCCGGAACGTCCCCCCCCCCCCCCCCCCCGGGAAACCTGCGCGGAGACGTTCCCGTGCGCGGGGAATGGAAAAGCCCCTCGGCCCCCCCCGTCTTTGCAAACCCGGCGGGTGGCTCCGCCCCTCGGGGTAACTGTGACCCCCCCCGCGCCCAGGTTCTGCCCCCGCCGCTGTCCGGCAGCGCCTCGCCCCTGGGGTCACCCTGAGCCCCCCCGTCCTTGATTGTGCCCCTCAGCCTCGCTCCTGCCCTGGCCTCCAGCTGCTTCACCCCCCGCCCGCCCATTTCCGCCTCTTGCTCAGACCCCCCCCCCTTACAGGCCCCGGGAACAGCGTCAGCCCGTGGTACCGACCAGCCTGCTTAGTCCTTGTGGCAGCAGCCAGCCAAGCCGCGCTCAGCGCCCTGCCCGCCTGCAGCCCCGGCTGGGGACACGGGTCTCGATCCCGCCTCGCCCCATCCCTTGTCGCCGCCCCTGCGGCTTTGTGCCCTGAGCCGCTGCCCCGCTCACCCCCGTTAGGGCCCCTGGGAGCGATGGGCCCTGGGAAGAAGGAGGCAGGGCTTGGGGAGAACAAAGCACCGAGATCAGACACCGGGCAGCACGTGGGGGCGGGTGCTCTGTAAAACACAAGACGCTGCTTCCTCCGTCCGTTGTGATCTGGAAACCCTGGACGAGCAGCTGCTGCTTCCCCAGCAGGGTCTGTGCTGGGGACAGACCTTCATTAAAGCTCGTTTCGTGCCCAACCCCGGGTGGGACTAGCCCCCAGTGCAGCCCCGGACTCTGCCAACATCAGCTCCGAGCCAGAGACTGCAGGTGACTGAGAGAGACCCCGGGGAAAGTGCTGGGGACGGGAAGGAAAGTGACTCTCTGCCCAAGGGATTCCCAGATGTTGCCGCCCCCTGGGAATCTGCTCCCTAGTTGTTAAGGTGCCTGCCAGAAGCGTGGGAGCTGCTGTTCTCAGCTGCAGCCGGGATCCGCCCCGGTCACAACTGGGATTCCGATGGGGAAAGAGAAGTGGTTCCCCTTTGTGGGCTGGAGGTGGAGGTGTCAGGAAGGAAAGAGATGGGGGAAAGCCAGAGTTGTAGGGAGGGGAAAGACCGTGTGAAATGTGGTAGATTGAACTGTCTTTGTGCAGTCAGGAAATTCCAAGGGCAGAGGTGTAGGGGTGGGTGTGTGTGTCGGGTGGGGGTAACAGGGGGAGTGAATGGCATCCTTTCCCTGGTTGTGCCACTTCCCTCTGAAATAGTGATTCAAAATTCCTTCTAGTTTTCCCCCTTTTCTCGCTCACTATCACATATGGATAAAAAATCCATGGAGATTTCCCCCTTTCCTGTACAATTATTCACTCTCTATTCTCTCATTTTATTTTATTTTTTCTCCATAATTCTCAAATGGCCATTTAAATTCTCCTCAGATTTGGAGGCTTTTCCCACCCATTTTATCTGCGGCCATTTGTCCTTGTTTAGGTGGGAAATTGTTGTCCTGACTCCTGAGTTATTCCCCAAAAGGGGTCAGGGGTTAGTGGATGCTGTTTGAGGGAGCCCTCAGACACAGCTGCCTCTAGAGTGGGGTGGGGCTGGCTGTTCACTGCCAGCAACAGGGCATGGAAGCGGCATTTTCTAGCATTTTGTTCAGAGACTTTGTTACTGGGAGACTATGGCCTTGTCTACACTAAAGGGAAAAGTCAATCTAAGCTATGCAATTTGAATTACGTGAGTAGCGTAACTCAAATTGACGTAGCTTAGATCTACTTACCGTGGGATCCACACTATGTGAGGTCAATGGGAAATGCTCTCCTATCGACTCCCCTTACTCTTCTCAATCAGGTGGAGTACAGGAGTTGACAGGAGAGTGATCAGCGGTCCTCCCGTAACCCCTTAAAAATGTGTCTGTGGGCTTAGCCCTGGTGGGAGGGGCCAGGTCTACCCTATAATAAAGTGACCAAGCATTTTCCCAGCATGGCAGAATCTAGGATATCTGTTTGCAGAGAAAAAGCCCGGCGGGGGAGGGAGCAGAAATCATGATGTGAAATTAACTTACGCCAGTTTTGAAACATCTGCAATTGCCCTTCTCACCCTGCCAGGCTGCAGAATGACGTCCATGTTTCGCTCCAGCTCATCCCATCCTCCCATGGGACAGGGAAGAGAAATGGCTGAAATGGAGCCGGTTCAGGTAGGGATTATTGGACGGTTTGCTGGTGGGTTCCTCCTGGAGGGAGAGGGACAGCAAATCACAGGATGGGGGAATGTTTGGGAATGTTTGCGTAGTCTACTAGGAGGTTGGAGCGGGCAGGAAGTTCACAGGGTGGAGAAAGGGAGGAGGCCAGGCAAACCTATTGGGACTTTTTAAATATGTGGCTTAGATTCTAGGACCAGACCCATGAGACTGGAATGTGGAAATGCCCTAATTTGTGGAAGAGGAAACAACCCACTTAGATGGGGCTAGGAAAGCTGACCAGATTCCCAGTGCTGGAGCCTGATCTGACTAACCAATGGTGGATTTGAAATATGAAGGGGGCACCCACCAGTGTGACTTAGGGGAGATGCGCCTCCCATCATATCCAGCTCCTCACAATGAGGAGGGTGTTGGGCTTCCTACCAGGGAGCTCTCCCTGGACCCTGTGAGGGGCTCCATCTCCTGTATCAGTCTCTGGCTAGTAGATGTGTGATGGATCTGCTGGGACTGGGAGAGACAAGGGGCTTCCTGTTTGTTTCCTCATCCTGGTGTTTCCTGGATGCTCAATGTGGTGTGGGGTGAGACTTTGTTGACTGCGAACCTCCAAGAGCTTCCATTTGATTGGCTCCTTTCCCCCCATGAATAGTGGTGTTCTGACTGGGGCAGCAAGTACTGAGTGCGGGGCTCTTGCACTTTCAGGGGCCGGTGACTTTCGAGGAGGTGGCTGTGTACTTCACCAAGGAAGAGGGGGCTCTGCTGGACCCCGCTCAGAGAGCCCTCTACAGAGACGTCATGCAGGAGAACTATGAGAATGTGACATTGCTGGGTAAAGGATTCCTGTCCCCTCGGTTCTTAGAAGGGGAAATGCAGAGTTAAGGTTCATGTCACCCCCACAATGCAACCTCAACTCTGCCCTGTTTCAGCAACACCCCAACATGGCAATGACACATACCAGCACTCTACCCTCCACTGCTACAGAACACTTCGGAAACAGAGCACAGGAGCGGTATAGCATAAAGTCTAACATCATCTTTTTGCTAATGCAAAACTTGGATTTAGGTTCCATGTAGGGAACAGACGTTTCTGACACTTGGCTGGCAGTCAAACCCTGATCCCACTCCACACAAACCATCTCAGACGTGCAAAGTGATATCACCCCTTTACCCTCTCCCTGAGGATTCCTTTTGAGTCATTGCCTTCACTTTGCCCTGACTGAACCCTGGAGACCACTAGCACATATGCCACCAGGCTGCTGACAGTCTCTGGGACAAGAACACACCCTCGTGCACCTTCACTGACACAACCTACAACACTCAGCACGGAAATGGGGCAGACATGGTCCCTCAAGGTTCACATGCACCTCACTTCATATCACAGTCACAGCTCTGCCAAGCTGTTCCAACTAATCCGTCCTTCATCAAATTACAGCTCAAGATGACACTGCACGCAGCTGGAGGGCATGCAGATAAATGCTAGTATTCCAATCTCTGGAACACAACACAAACAGTGACATGTTATTTTAGTCCTCCTTTGTCTCTATTGTAGATTTATAGACTTTTATGGCCAAAAAGGACTATCCGGTCATTTAGTCTGAGCTCTTCTATAACACAAGACACAGAATTGCATCCATTTACTGCTGTACTGAGCTGAATACCTTGTGTTTAACTAAAGGGTCTTCCAGAAAGGCATCCAGTCTTGACTCGAAAACTTCCTGAGATGGAGAATTCTCCACTTCTCTTTGCAGTTTGTAAACCTTTGCACGAGCCTTACTGAACCTTTCCCAGTGGCTAGTGCCAATTCCAGGGCTATGGCAGGGGCAGAGCTAAGCTTGTATTGCAGGTGTGGCATGTACTTTTTAACTCTTCCTTTCATAGTTTTCAGAGGTTTACGTTTAGCTGCCATGCACATGTTGAAAGGACATGAATCAGCACAGGGCAATTTGATCTTTGAATGAATGTAGTTTATGGGTATTTAATTACCTTGATTTTTTTAATGTTTTTTTTTTCTTTGCCACTATAACTGTGTCTACTCTAGAGCTTTTGCTGGCATAACTATGTTGATTTTTAACATTCCTAACCGACAGAGCTATTCTGGCAAAACTTTTAAGTGCAGACTGGGAAAAAATGTGGGTGCGGATTTTAGATCACTTTAAAATATTACTCTTAACCTGAACATTTTGTTATGAGAGGGCAAAACTTCCTAGAAGAATATCTGCAGGATGCAAGACACACATTGTCTGAAAGGTAGTAGAGGCAGGGCTCAGTCTCAAATTCATGAGTGTAAATCAGGTTCAGTGGCCACAGCACATCCCCTTGAGCCAACCTGTGACAGCAGATTGCTAGACATCCTCTAGCAGTTAACAGAGATTTCATCTTGCTGCACTAGTGCATTCAATGGCGTTGACTCATCAGTTTGGCTTGTGCTGTTCTAAATTCCAAATTCTACAGTTATTAACTTTTTTCACTACTGGTATCCCAAAGAGGCAGTAGGTGCCATATATTAACTGAGATAAATGCTAAGTTACTGAGATCAGTTGGGGGACAGTGAGAACCATAGTTTCAGCCCCAGCTCCGTGCAAGACAAAATTACAAGAGCAAGATGATTTTATAAAAAGCTGTGTAGGATGGTGTGTGGGGGGGCTGTATTTTAGGAACCTCTTGATCAAGTAACCCCTTATTTGGACAATTAGCTCTTCCCTGAATGGCTGTGAAAAATGTGTCCAATCCAAATAAACGTGTGAATTTGAGAGTAGTTAGGATAGTTGGTCTGTAAATAGAAAATAATGCTTCCATTGAGCTAGCTCCTGCCTCTCGGGGAGGTGGATGACCGATGCCGACGGGAGAACCCTTCCCGTTGCTGTACGGAGTGCTACGCTGAAGCACTACAGCAGTGCAGCTACAGTGTTTGAAGGGTAGACAAGCCCTGAGCTACGACATTCAGTGACACCCCAGTCCCTCCTATTCCTTACTGCGCTGAATCCCACCAGCCCATGCTCAATGGTCCCGGGTTTCATTCTGTGAATTAGAAGCCAATCCAAGGTGACTTATTTTATGGCTGGTGTCTTAATTTTCTGGGACATGGAGTTTGTGTCTCTGTGTTTTAGGAGCCCCTTTGATGAGCAGTGTCTGGCTGTGTCTTCCCTGCTAGGGTTGCCAACTCTCCAGGACTGGCCTGGAGTCTCCAGGAATTAAAGATTAAGTCATGTGATGAAATCTCCAGGAATACATCCAACCAAAATTGGCAACCCTATTCCCAGCAGAGATGGGGCTAGTTAAATCCCTCATAAGTAAGGCTACGATTTAGTCACAGAGGCTGCGGAAGTCAGGGAATCCGTGATTTCCAGAGACCTCTGTGAGTTCAGCCTGCGGAGGTCGGGAGCTGTGGAGTACCCCCACCCATGGGAAGCCCCGAGCGTCTGGCCACCATGGGCGGCAGAGGAAACCCCGCAATTCCAGGCTGCCGAAGAAAGCCCCAAGCTCCCAGCTGCTGCGGGCAGCGGGGCCCCCGGAGCTGCAGGCGGTGAGGGTATCCTGCGGCTCCTGGCCGTTGCAGGTGGTGGGGGAACCCAGCAACTCCACACCGTCGTGGGTGGCAGGGGCCCCCCAGAGCTCCAAGCCACTGCAGGCAGTGAAGCTCCCAGCTGCTGCAGGCAGCAGAAGGCCTGCAGCATCCAGCTACAGGGGGCGGGGGGACCTGGAACTCTGACACCTAATGGAGCCCCAGAGCTCCCAGCCAGCCAGCAGATGCTCAGCCATCACAGGCGATGTGGGGACCTGCAGATCCCCATTTTGTCAGGGATATTTTTAGTAAAAGTCACGGACAGGTCATGACGTCTGTGAATTTTTCTTTATTTCCTGTGACCTGTCTGTGACTTTTACTAAAAATATCCCTGACAAAATCTTAGCCTTACCCATGCACGTTTGATCACCTAGGGAGCTGCCCCCAGGATTTTACTGGTTAAAATGGGCTGGGGTTAAAGTAATAGAATCTTCTTTGTGACGAATGTCCCATGAATTCCCCGATCTCACTTGTTTTCTTTCCCCTGAGCAGGGTTTCCAGTTTCCAAACCCGATGTGGTCTCCCAGCTGGAACAAGGGGAGGAGCCATGGGTCCTGGATCTCCAGGGCTCTGTGGAAAGAGGGATCCTGAGAGGTGTCTGCATAGGTGAGGAATCATTAAATCAATTCCAGAACTCTCAGTGCCTGAAAGAAACAGCTGGGACTCCCTAAAGAGACCCTGTGAGCTCTTGGAATTTGGGATTATCCCCAGGAGGTATTTTATCCTCAGGGCAGCTGTCAAAAAGGCTTCCTATGGCTCCTGATTGACACCTGGCAGTCGTTCCCTCCCTGATGGGAGGTGGAGGTAGAATTGGTTCCCTCCTCTCTCCCCTCTGGAGAAGAGTTTTGGAGAATTCAGCTACTAGTTCTTTTTTTCTCTCTCTCCAATTCTAATTTTGGTTTGTTTTCCCCTTTTCCATCCCTGTTTCTGAGGTTTCTCTCTCTATCCGAGCAGGTACTGGGATGGTGAATGAGAATGAGGAGCAGAATCCTCAGCAGGAAGATGCTGAGCAAGTGGAACCACATGGGGGATTATCACAAAGATCCAAAGGGAATGTGTCCAGGCATCGTGTGCAGGGAAAAGCCTGTGAGAGGGAGCACAGGCCAGAGAGAGAGCAGAGAAACCAGCCCAGAGAGAAAGAGGGTAAATCCATTTATTGTCAAGGAACTCACAAGGACCTCAAGCAAATCACAGCCCAGCAGATAAAACCTACAGGAGAGAGAAAAAACACATGCACTGAGTGTGGGAAAACCTTCACTCTGAACTCCACCCTCATTAGACATCAGATGATCCACATGGGAAAGAACCTCTACAAATGCTGTGAGTGTGGGAAACAGTTCAGTGAGAAATCAAACCTTATTAAACATCAGACAAGTCATACAAGAGAAAGATCCTATCAGTGTTATGAGTGCAGGAAAAGCTTCACTCAGTGCTCATCCCTTATTAGACATCAGAGGATCCATATGGGAGAGAGACCATACGAATGCTGTGAGTGCGGGAAAAGCTTCACTGTCAAATCAGATCTTAATAAACATCAGAGAATCCACACAGGAGAGCGACCTTATGAATGCTGTGAGTGCGGGAAAACGTTCACTTGGAGCTCAGCGCTTATTAATCATCAGAGGATCCACACAGGAGAGCGACCTTATGAATGCTGTGAGTGCGGGAAAACGTTCCTTCAGAGCTCAGGCCTTCTTAATCATCAGAGGATCCACACAGAAGAGCGCCAGTATGAATGCTGTGAGTGCGGGAAACAGTTCAGTAAGATTTCAAAACTTATTAAACATCAGACAAGCCATACAAGAGTGACACCCTATGAATGCTGTGAGTGCAGGAAAAGCTTCACTAAGCGCTCAACCCTTATTAGACATCAGAGGATCCATATGGGGGAGAGACCATACGAATGCTGTGAGTGTGGAAAAAGCTTCACTGCCAGATCAGATCTTAATAAACATCAGAGGATCCACACAGGAGAGCGCCCCTATGAATGCTGTGAGTGCGGGAAACGGTTCACTTGGAGCTCAGCGCTTATTAATCATCAGAGAATCCATACAGGAGAGCGACCTTATAAATGCTGTGAGTGTGGGAAAACGTTCCTTCAGAGCTCAGGCCTTATTAATCATCAGAGGACCCACACAGGAGAGCACCTGTATGAATGCTGTGAGTGCGGGAAACAGTTCGGTAAGAAATCGAAACTTATTAAACATCAGACAAGCCACACAAGAATGACACCCTATGAATGCTGTGAATGCAGGAAAAGCTTCACTCGGAGCTCATCCCTTATTAGGCATCAGAGGATCCACACAGGAGAGAGACCATATGAATGCTGTGAGTGTGGGAAACGCTTCACTGTCAAATCAGACCTTAGTAAACATCAAAGGATCCACACGGGAGAGCGCCCCTATGAATGCTGTGAGTGCGGGAAACGGTTCACTTGGAGCTCAGTGCTTATTAATCATCAGAAAATCCACACAGGAGAGCGACCCTATGAATGCTGTGAGTGCGGGAAAAGTTTCATCCGAAGCTCACACCTTAATAGACATCAGAGTCTTCACAAGGGAGATACACAGCATAAAAACTTTGTGTAGGGCAGAAAAAATACATTTTTAAAAAGACATTTGCTAATTCTTACATAGTGACCTTTTAGGGCTGTTTGCACCATTTGCATCACCGTGTTCTCACAGTTTCCTCCTTTTCCTTTTGCAGGTCACTCTTCTCAGGGGTGAATCCCGTGGTCCTTTCTACTAATTCTTTTCTCCTGTGAGTCATGGGAGTGTGTCCCTCCTGCCAGGAATGTCCATCAGCCCTTGCTGGGGGAAATAGGGGTGACCTCAAGTAGCTACACTGAGCAAAAATCGACCTTGGCTTTGTCTCCTCTAGGATTTTCCATGGAGTTGGCCTGCTCGAGGTAGCTATCCACATGTAAACACACAGATAGCTTTGCAGTGTTGACATAGCCCAGGTACAATGGTTGGGGTTAGCTAGCACCTTCCCCTTTGACCTGTCCTAATCGACACCAATATTCATAGTCTAAACAAGCCCTGAGGCTCACATTCAAACTGTCACCCTACCAGCAGAGCAACTGTTAGTCACCAAGTTCCCCCTTTGGCAACAGATTGTCTCATTCCCAGTTGTTCTCACGCTGGTCCAGGTTGTGCTGGACAGCAGGTTGTTGGTTTTTTCACTATTTTTCATATTTAAAATATATTTAAATATAACAAAGAGGAGGCGCAGCAGTGGGACAAATGTATCGTTTCGGCCTTTGTGACAAAGGAAATGGGCTGAGTCAGATGGATTCCCTCCTTCTCCATGACCATCACTATGCCTGTTCCCTCCAGCAGCGCTGGTGTCTGTGTGAGCCACAATGGAGTTTATCCTCCCTTTATTCTACCCCCCACCTCCCAAAGAGTCTCTGCAATTTGATCCTAAATCCAACTCATTAGGGCTAGAGATGCAAGTGTCACAGACCTGGATGGGGAATTCCAGTGGATCCGAAACACAGTGTGATCATTCTGTGCTTTTATCCTTGTTTCCATCTATTGGCAAAGCCACTTCTGGACATTTTCCTGCTGATCTGGGATTGTCAGCAGATGAGAAGGGTGGCAGTTTTCCTCCATTACGATGTTGCTAATTATTTTTGTAAATAACACGACTCCATAATAATGAAGTGCTGTTGAATGAAGCAGGTTTGAATGGATCAGAGGAGAAAATGATGGGGGAATCTGCTCTCCTGATTATTTTTGAGTAATCAGAGGTAATCCGCTCTGGAATTTCATTTTGTATGAAAGAGAAAGTGACTTATACTGCTCTGTGTTGCGGATTTTTCTCTCTCTTCTGAAGGCCATTTCGTCACATTATTGAATATTAGTTCTCTGGGATGTAGCTCGGATTTATCAAGGACTTTGGGACAAATGACTGTTTGCTAAAAGAGTCCTTCCTTATTTTAGTTGTGTCTTTCCCCCACTGCTGCATGATGACATGAAAAAAACTCAAGTGCAGTTCACATCAGGAGAGGATGCTCCAAACCGTTGGGCATGCTGCCAAGGCAACAGTAGTGGGTTTAGGGCTCCACTCTGAAATGGTGAACAACAGCACACCCCAAATTGTGCAACTAACTGAAGTAACTGGGTGCATGTGTCCTATGATTTGGGAAACGCTGTCCCTGTCTGTGTTGATTTGGAAAAAATAGAAGTTCATTTCTGGTGAACTTGCCCATGAGAGAGGCTGCAAATGTGCACTACAATGAATTCCGTGTTGAATGTGATATAGCTGCAGAATATCTATTTTTAATATACTCTGCTCCTTTGGTGACTTACAGGGATTCTGATGCAGGAGTGTTTCTAGTCCCTAACTTAGACCTGTGCCACCAGTTCAGATAAACAAATTGGGTGTGTTTGGGGAAGCCATTCCTCACTAACACTGCTCACATTTTGGGTGGTTTTGTAAAGGATTCAATTCCAGAGAAGTGTAAATGTACCCTGACCATGGCCAAGGATTTGGCAAGAACTCAGTTTGATATAGAAGGCACCCAGTAGTTGATTTTTGCCCCAAAGAAGGAAGCTGTGGTGAACTACAGTCCAGGTAAAACTGTTTGTTTTTTAACACTGCTCCCCAGTTCAGTGTCTCAGATTACACTCCCAAAGGATGTCATGGCTCAATTGGAAGGTCCTTCACTATTTGGATCCAAAGTTCCATGAGGCAAAGTGAGAAATAGTTGATGCCTTCAGAGGACATTCCGTCGCCAGCCTGATTGGGCAACAAGGCGTTTCATGCTGTTGAAATGGTGGTAACTGATGAGGGAATGCATATGTCAGGTTCCAATTTCAGACTGCTGGATATACAGACGTTGAGTCCTGATTTTAGGCTTTTGTCTCGTAGTTTTGCTCTTGTGTCTTATGCAGTTGTGCCACTTTGCCTCAACTTTCTGCTTCTTTGAAAGAGTGGAAGGTGTGAATATAGAGTTGAGGTCCTTTTTCTCATGATGCAAACCTTCCCACATAGCATGAGACCCCTTCCACTAACACTTATGTCCAAAGCCCCAGAGATAAATGAACTCACAGATGTGGAAAGCTCCTATGCTGGTGTAGATCACATTTACAGAGTGCTCACTTGGTGGAAATGGGGATTAAAAGGAAACTAACATGTATGATAAAATTTTATAATCTTTGAATATGTTCTTGTAACCAGTGAAAATGAAATTACCAATGAAGTTAATTTCAGGTTAAAGCCTAACTTAGTGATAACCTGAATTATATTGGAACACTGTGACTTGCATCGGTTTGCTTTTTGCAAGTAATATACGAAGTGGTGGCTAACCCTAAAAAGTTTATTTGATGTAAAATACCCCTGTGGACTAAGGCATTCTGCAGTACATCATCACTCCAAGGTTGAGGTGGTGGAATGTGTGAGAAAACTAGTTTCAGAGTAGCAGCCGTATTAGTCTGTATCCGCAAAAAGAACAGGAGTACTTGTGGCACCTTAGAGACTAACAAATTTATTAGAGCATAAGCTTTCGTGGGCTACAACCCACTTCTTCGGAAAACTAGTGTATAGGAGAGCACAGAACCAGACTTCAGTTGTTTCTATTTCAAATGGAATATGTTTTGACAAGCTTTAAAGTAAAATTATGTAAGGAGACAAGTTGTGAAACCTTTTACCAAATTAGACTGTACGGGTCACTCAATTCCCCTCTTCTCTGCAAAGCAAAGATGTATAATGTCTGTCATGAGATGTCCCTGGTTCTTTTTATGAATGGCAATGGATGCATGATGCAATAGGTTTTTTCTGTTGTTGTTTTTGCCACCTGTTATTTTTATGGGAGCTGAGACCCCTTTTCCTCTTTTGAGGAAACCAGCTGTTATGGCTCAGCCTTTTAACCCTCAAGCCAGGCTATGGAAACCTCCTCCAAACTGTCCTTGGTATTTTCATTTTTGAGATCTTTGGGGTTCAAATCTCCACATTGCACGTGGTTCACAACAACCGATCTTTTAAGAAAACTGCTGGGTTAAGTGGGACTCTTCCAAACTGACGATAGCCCAAATTCTGCCTCACTTGAAATGGATCCGGCCACGTTGTCTGTAACCAAGGCGTCCTTCACTCCTCATTTGCCCGGAGACTTCAGAGGAGTGACTGTAATGTGGGGTGAGCTGGAATCAACCAAAAAGACCAAAGTAAAGGTGGAAGCCCTTTTGTACCAGCAACCTAAGAAAGACGGACATGCCAGGACCCCGGAACTGATCCCTTCTGGGGAAAGAAGTCTTAACATCAACAACAGGCTGTGCCAGCCTTGACCTGTCTTCTCCTACCTGAGAAAGCATGCGAATGTGGAGTACTGAGCCTGCGACCCCATCTCCTGAGTCCTTGACTGCAGCTCTAGCTCCTACTCTGAGAGTCCAGAGTTAGTCAGTTGTCCATTTCAGTGTCTTGTTATTTTTTCTATATTTCCATACTTGTTTTCATTAACTGGGAGATGCCCCAGCCTTTCTATTCTACTTTGGTGGTCGAGTGGGGCTCAGCGTGTGCATGTGTGTATGAAACCTGCCACATCCACGCAGGGAAGGAGCTACAAATAATAATTCCCTAATCTAAATAAGCCTAAAATGCTGCCCTACAAAATGATAAAATATGTGCTCCTTGTTCTGTGAAAGTGTTCTAAGAACCTAAGCTGTCGGATATATACTGTTAAATACCTAAAAAGAACAGGAATACTTGTGGCACCTTAGAGACGAACAAATTAATTAGAGCATAAGCTTTCGTGGGCTACAGCCCACTTCTTCGGATGATATGCATCGGAAGAAGTGGGCTGTAGCCCACGAAAGCTTATGCTCT